GACGAGCGCCGTTTGGTTTAGAGGCAACAGGGGCGAGGACGTCCCACGAGCAAATATTCGCCCAAGATCCGGGCTCACCTCGCCCCCAGAAAAACAACGGACGGCCGCGGTCCTCGGTGGGACGAGCCGCACACGCGCTGAGAAGAAACGAGGACAGGAGCGGGTGCTTTGCCACAGTTGGAGAAGAAGGACGAAGCAGGACTCACCGGAGTTGCTGGAGTCGAGGAAGAAGCGGTGCGCGGCCATGGGGGCACGAGCTCCGCCCCTGGCGTCGTCTTGCCTGGCCCCGGCGAGCGGCCATTGGAGCACGGGCTCCACCCCTGGCGCCGTTGTGCCCAGCCCCGGCGGGATCCGCCCCTGGCGTCGTCGTGCCCGGCCACGGCGAGCTCCGCCCCCGACGAACCGCAAGGAGGTCCTCGGCACGAGCTCTGGGGCCGGCCCTGACGTCGCCGCGAGAGCTCCAACCCCACCGACGGAGGAGGCTCGGGCGCCAGGCCGGAGGAAGCCCGGGGCAGCGCGCGTCCGGGCTCCGGGGGGCGAGCAAGGTCGAGCGGGCCAACTCCGGTGAATGGAAGAATGAAGAAGAAAGGATAAGGAAGAAGAAAAAAGAAAAAAGAAAAAAAGAAAAGGAAAAAAATCTGATGGATGTGGGCCCTATATGTCGTGGGGCTCATCCTACTTTTGATCTCTCTGAAGCAAACAGAAAACGGGTTGATCCCATCCTTTCTCAATCAAACAGAAAATAAATTCATCCCGTCCCATAAACCAGAGACAAAGACCATCCCACCCCATCTGATGCGCCAACCAAACGCTACCTTAAAATACAACTAGCTAGCGAGTTGCTCGTCGCATATCTCGCACACCACCCGAAGAAATTCAACAGTGTCTGCTCCTCCGGACCCGCACACAGCTTCTGCTCAGAGTGTCCAGGTTTTTTTTGTTTTTTATTCTCTCCGGAGCCAGCTCAACTAGCGAAATCGCCCTCTCCATTGCGGACGCCCTAAAGCCTTTTTGGGGTCCGGATGAGCAGAGAAAACAACTACAGCAGCATTTGTCAATGCAAGATTCCAAATGTTCTCATGCATCCTCACGACCTCACCCTGCTTTATGAGGGCAGCAGATCATTAAGCCATGTTCTTGCCTTAAGTAGAATCCCCTTTGCGCAAAGCCATGTCCATCCTAATGGCACATTTTGGCGCGTCACAAAACTGTACCACCACAAAATGTGGGATTTGGCTATAGCTCCCAAGATGAGCTCCCGTCCAAAGCTTGTTTCCCGGAATTAACTCAACTGTTCCACCTCTTTGGAAGCAAAAACTCAGTGGGGGCAGGCTCTACCTAGCGTGTGTGGTGTAGGGGATGGGGCACGCGGCCCACATGATGGCATATTCCGGGAGTGCATGACTGCTTACGGGTTTCCAGAGCAATTGAAGTGAAGCGAAGTGAGTGCCTGTATGCTTGCTTGCTTGCCTTGGGTGATCCTGCAGCGCTGGCGGCCTCGCTGCTCTGCTCATCTGTTGGCGAAAAGATGGATCGCCTGCTTTGAGTGTGCATCAATATCCTTGGGTCCAATAAAGATTCAGATGCCAGAAATAAAATATATTGGCCATGCTGTTGCTGTGCAATATCAAACTGGAGAGCTTACTTGAGAAATAAAATGAAAGGTGAGATCGAGCTACCGAATCCGGGAAGCTGATTGGTCTGGTGCCCACTAGCAGTATCATTACTGCCACTCACATAGTATATCTGACTATGCGTTGTTGCTCATTTTAACTTGGCATCTCTCCAAAGATCACAGCGTATTGCTTCAAGGAATTTTTGCCTCGTAACACTTGAAAAAAAAAATATAGTTTTACTACTCTGCCACTTGTCACGGCTGTACGTACATTCTCCTGCACGTATCCGCTGACAGGATCTCTCTTAATCCTCGTGGGCAGGATTGTTTAGACTGCCCACAGTGTATCAAATATCGATGCTGAAACAAGGAGAGAGAATGTTGAAACGAAGAGAGATAATTCGAAATCGCCTCAACTCTTGCGCGACAAGTTGGGAAAACTTAGGCATCGAGGAGAATAGATAGAATAATAAAAACTATTTCAAAAGCATTAAGTTCACTTTTGGCCTCTTAACTATTACGTACGGTTTAATTTTAGTGTTCGCGAGAATAGATAGAATAGAATAGAAAAGATTAAGTTCACTTTTGGCCTCTTAACTATTACGTCGGTTTAATTTTAGTCCGTAACTACAGAACCGTCTAGTACCGGTACTTCAACTGTCAAAACCGTTTACTTTTAACACCTAGACGGGGACAATGCTGTTTTGACTGACGTTGAGTAGTTTTGACACGCAACCTCCATCTCAGTGACATGTGAGGCCCACGTGTCATTGACTCAATCCGTCCCTCTCTGTCCTCACGGCCACGACCTCGCGCTCCTGGATGCCGACGAGGAATGGACCCTTGCGTGCGTTCCCAAAGCGCAACACGGCCGCGCGCATCGGAGGGCCAGGCAGGCCCAGCTCGGGAAAGGGGAGCCTTGGTTGGCCCAGAGGCCAGGCGACGATGCACGGGGGCTGGGGGGCAGCTGGGACTAGCCCATCGACGGACGCGTCGGGCGCACCGAGCGAGAAGAGGTGGTGGTGGTCGATGGGGTCGGGGCCACGTGGACGTGGGCGCGCATGTCGGGGACAGAATTATGGAAGCCGATGCCACTGAGCTATCGCCAAATCCATTGCAGTTGCAGGGACCACCAGGCCAGCTCAGTGGAGTGCTTCGATCGTGCACATATGTTTGGCCAGACGCCAGATACGATGCTCCCTCCGTTTATTTTTTTATTAATTACATGGTGCACCAATGCTCGTCAAGGTTCCACACCATTTTTGCTCACATAGACATCGCCAGCTCACGGGAACTTATTTTGCTAATGCATATTGGACTTGTTTTCAGCATTTGACTGGATGGAGTGCTTGCTAAGTCCTTTGATCGAAAAGTAAAATCTGTAGTAGAATGCTTGTGCGCTGTGACGTTTTAAAGTATGAATAATAATATCACTCCATTCTAAATTATAAGACGTTTTATTTTTTTAAGTACATTACTTTTACTATGTGTATAAACATAGTGTATATCTAAGTTCATATCAAATTCTAAGTACTTAGAAAATCTAAAACGTCTTGTAATTTGGAACGGAGGAAAAACTATGCTCTGGTCATTTAGCCAAGCCAAATGGCTTGAAAATATGTCCTGGAAAGAAGTGCCCTAGTGTTATTGTTCTATCCATGAGAAACAACACGTTTATTAATTCATCATGTTGATGTCATGGTATGTACTACCTCTAGATTCTTACTTGTTTTAGACACCGGTCAGTTAGAACGAACTCCATGCAGTGTGTATGTAGCATTGGTGTTCATATCCACCCCCCTGCACTCGTGGGGCTGCGGCCTACTGGACTCCCTTTTGTTGCATTGTTATCCTCTTAGCTCGATGTGCGCAGCTGAGAGCTGTTTATGGCTCCCCATGAACACAGCCATGTGCCCGGTGCCCTCATTCCCTGCTAAGCAGCCCTAGCCTAGCATGGGTTTTGACCGGTTTGACCTGAACAATTCTTGATAAATTTGACCGGTCAAACCTCGGCACCTCGGCCATCACTTACGTAGATCTTTTGTGGTGGTGCTGATTGGAAACACAAACCATTGGAGTTACATTATCAAGTTCTCAGGACCACGGTGCAGATATGCTTGTTAAGTCATGATGAACCGAACCGTGCAGCTGCACTCGTGGAATAATATAATGGCGTCGGCACCCTTGGACTTGGAGTCAAAAGGGCCCGGCGGGCCCCACAAGCAAAGCAAGAATGCAAGATGAAGAAGGATCCGCGGTGAGATTGGGTTGTTGGGGACGGGCTCGAGCAGTTGTTCTGCGCGCACCGATCTTCATGTCGGAATTCATGCCATGCGCCATCCCCTGGGAACTCGGCCGGCATCGGCTGCTCCCTCATCCTCTTCCTCTCTCGGTGTCCACGCCCCCTGCCCCTGGCCGCAGATTCGGATCGCCCCTCGTGACCCATGATTTGGGCGAAAGGCGGTTTGCTGGATGCGACTCCTCCTGCTACTGCAGTTTCAGTGCCCACCGGCCACCCGTTGGGACTTGACGATGATAGCGGTGTTTGTCTGTGCGACTTCGGCCCACTGCAGGAGTGGTTACTTAGGATAGGATTGTTAACGGCATGGCATGGACGGTTTGACCTACTCCAGGCATAGGGCCATAGGGGAGTTGCTTAGGGTAGCAGTCGTCCTCTAGGTGGACAGGATCCCGTGATTCGGGGCCAACATTCTTCGGAGTGGATTGGAGGTCACTGTGCCTTTTATTGGGAAGGCCGTCCTCAACTTCAGGAACGGTGTCTGCAGAGTGAGCTGTTACAGGTTTTCATTCATTCTCCTCAGTCCTCCCCTTGAAACAAAAATCCAAATGCACGCAGCAGTACAGAAAAGATATATATACACACACAAATAAAAAAGAAAACAATATGCTATCTCATGTACTCATATGTGCCAAACATTGGGCTGTTGCCTATGTGTTGATTGGAGGAAATATTGGAGCGAGAGGCAGGCCTGAATGCCTGATGATAGGGAAGCAACCCAAATTGGGTCCAATATGTACTCAATCACTTATGCATAATTCATGTTTTCAGGAGCCAAACTGCTCCGTTGTGTCTCATGGTCTAGTATGTTATTCTTCCCCAGCAACATTACAACACACATGCCCACAAACAAAATGTTAACGCGATGTCCCAACATCCAACTTCACACGCCAAAATCCGACAGGAAACAGCCTTCTTGCACCGGGGTTACTTCTTGGTTTGGCTGGGGGCTTGGTATGCATGCACCAACAAAAATGCCAAGTGGTATGTGTGCAAAGGAAAATCACGCCTATAATCTATCGACATGGTGCTCAGGCCAGTCCACATTACTATACACAACAAGTAGGAGTGCACGGCACGGCTACTTCAAGCAACAACATTGGTCAAGGCATCGAGCACTTGTTGTCGGGTGGGCAGCGCTGGAATAGCGCCCCTCTCTGTCACAGTGAGTGCTCCACAGACGTTTGCAAACTTCAGGGCTTCTCTCAATCGACCTTCGTCCTGTTTCAGCCACAAGGAAAATATGAGTGGTTTCAAAGCACCAGTGCATAGTTCAGTTTGTGTGGAAAACAAAGAAATACCAAGGTAGCCTGAATGAAAAACAAAAATGCCCCCAACAGGAACAAGTAGCAATTGTTTGTGTATGCAGGGGGTGCCAACTAAAAATATATACCCGTGCATCAGCATGTTGCCTATCTCAAGAGACAAGTACTGAAACTTTATACGTTCTTCGAATTGTTTATTGGTGTTCTCTAGATTAGCAAGCGCTAAGTGACCGAGCAACATGTCTCTCATGTAAGACTACCATTTGTAACATACGTGTTCCTTCCAGCCTCAGTGAAACACGGTTTGGTGCTTCCTTGCTTCAGGTGCAAACTAGGTGGTCTTAATGAGTAAAGCTTGTGACATGGCGTACTTGGATTCATCCCATCTTCTAAAAATCTTAAGTACAAAAACCATATAGTTCTTTTCGTGCGCATTTGCCTTTTTTTCAAACATGGAGTTTACAATGACCCTATTCTTTAAATTCAAAATCGAAGATCCAGGTATTAGGCATCACTACACTAAACAACATTTATTCTTTAATTTGCACAGCTTGCAAATTTGTAGCATCTGGGAATTGGGAGATTTTAGTATTTAGATAAGAGAAAGGTGAGTTTGGTATACAAATGCTAAGATTCTCTTCAGTTGCACACAGATTCAATATGCCTTTCTCTGTAATTATCCAAACTAAATATCTTTTGACTCTATGTGAAGAAGTAACTGTACTAAACATAAGTGTCATTTTAGGTCCTTCGAAAAATTATTTCTTGCATCCATCTGTAGTAAAAGCTGTTCATGTAAATCTCTGAAAACTGCAGAGTGCAGGAAGCTGTTTTCTTCCTGTTTTTCTTTTTCGGCTAAATACTGGGACCCTATAATGTCCATGTAAACTGTTGTAACTCTCAAACTTCTACTTAATGCAAAGGCAGTGCTAAAAAAAACTGTAGTAAAAGCATTGAGGAAGGTGCTGTAGCAGACTGCAGGAACACCTGAAACATAGTTTCACCTACTTCTGAAAGGAGGTAACAAAGCAAGTGCAGTCATACCTGGAGCAGTGAAAAGTCTGTGGCTAATTGAGATAGCACTCCAGCAACAAAGGCATCGCCAGCACCAGTTGTGTCAACAGCACTTACCTTAAGTCCACCAACTCTACCACTAAAGTCCTGTTATTTCACAAGATGTACTGTAAACAACATTTTACTGACCTATGTACATAAGGCATTGTTAGCAAGTAAACGTAATTAAGAATTTTTAAAAGATTGTTGACTAGAATTGAAATAAATAGTTTCATTAAGATAACATCCAACGCCAAGTGAATTTTTATTGGACAAAAAGTGTGCCCATGGTCATGGAGAAAGAAAGAAAAAAAGGAAATGGTGTATTCAAGCAACAAAAAAATAATATTACCCTCTACATCATAAGTGTAAAATTACCTTAGAGTAATACCTACAGCCATCTGGACCTTCAGTGACAAGAAGCAACTTCAGGTTTGAGTGGATAAGTTTCTTTACAACGGCATCATCATAAGGATCCTCCCCATTTGTGAGAAAGGAAACCTCCTCTTCACTTATCTGTTTCAAAAGAGACACAAAATGCGCAAATCAACACAAGATTTGCCTGTAAAGATGAACCACAATTTACAGACTTGCTACCTTGATAACATCAGCGGTTTCCCATATGCTTAGGATACCATCTCTAGCATCCTCAGCTGATGACCACAATGGAAGCCTCAAATTTGGATCATATGAAACAAGTACTCCAGCATCTTTAGCAGCTTTGGCAGCTGCAATATGTGCAGTTTTACAGGGCTCAGTTATAAGACTTATTGAGCCATGGTGGAATATTTTTGCCTAGCATAAATAACATGATCAGATTACATTAATTTAGCCATGGTGAAATCAATAGTAGTTGAGACGCATAGATATTGGAATGGCAACAGAATGTACTTCCATACCTTCCGTATAAGATCAAGGTCAAGTTCTTTTTCTTCAAGCAGCATATCAGCACTTGGATTACGATAGAACATAAATTCACGTTCACCATCACTTCGGAGTGTCACAAATGCCAAAGCTGTTCTAGCATGAGGATCAAATAGTAATCCTTGATTATTTACATTATTCTGCTTCAATATATCAGCTAGCATGTAGCCAAATTCATCATCACCAACCTACAAAGTAAAAAACTCCAGAAGAACAAAATTACATAATGACGACAAACAAGACTCTGGTCTATTTTGAACATGAAAAGGATAGGCTGCACGCTGCAAGCTATAACCAACAATTCAAATGAAACATGGTTCGGTGAAAGCACTACTTTAAACGTATGAGAACATAAAAGAGATACTAACTAAATCCTATCATGTATTTTGCCTTTGAAAGGTTTCAAACAGAAAAGCACACTGCTCATAACCCCTTTTGTTCTGTTAAACAGTACAAATACAATAATTTTACCTTTCCAATGAAAGCTGAAGAGCCACCAAGACGAGCTATTCCAACTGCAACATTGGCAGGAGCACCCCCAGGAGCCTTCTTGAAGGCTGGTGCTTCTGCCAGTGACAAGCCATTGACAGTTGGGACGAAATCAATTAGCAATTCACCAAAGCACACCACATGTGGAGAATTGCTCGTTTCAGGGACGCCATCACTGAAGATTGCCTTTGTTCGAACTAAGGTTGAAAATTGAAGCAAACAAGAACCAAATCAGATATTCTTGCTTTTGCAGCGTCATATCTAAATTGACAAAATGTTAACTATAAAGCTAAGTGCCTTTCTGTTTCTGCGGAAACATAATATTGTAAAATGAGTGACCACCGCGCGATCCATAATGATCCCTGATATGCTATCAATGCACATGAAAAGCCATGGAGTAAAATCAAGTTCACCACATACAGAAAGAAGAATGATAAAAAAAAATCTGAAGAATCAAATGAAAGGCTGATCATGCAGCCAAGATAAGTTAAGGAAATATCACTGCAGTAAAAATAATTAATTAGAACTGCAAAGCCAACAAGTTATTGTCAGCATTAGTGAGCTCCTAGCATAAAGAAAAAGGGATGCGGCCCTTGTTAAGAACTTAACATAGACTTTTTGGAGCATGAAACTGTTTCCTCGTGTTTCATATAAACGCCAGAATCAAATGGAAAACCCAGTCGGACCCACCCACACCGATCTAAACTCAAGTCTCAACCATAAACTGGGTGAATTTGCCATCCCAACACGAGCCCGGAAATTCTGCACACAAGATTCTCATAAAGCCAAAATTCTGAGCACTGCACATTGGACTGATTTGAACGGAAACCATGTGGCTGACCACTCATACATGATACACCTAGCTCATATTTCAAGTACCATCCCCCATTCCTCAAGTTCCCGAAGCCCATCTATAATCTGTTAGACTGTTGCTACAAAAATAGCACACTCTTAAATGCATGATCCCAATGCTAAGAGTAGCAGCTAACCGTAAGATAAACAACATATGCAGATATGCTAGCGGAGAACGATCCTAAAAGTGAGCGTACAAAGGACTCTCAAGCCCGCGCCGACACCGAGTACCTGCGCGTGTCCGCAGCGGCGCGGCAGAGACGACGCCGCGGGGCCTCGCGACGGCGGGGAGGGAGCGCCTGCCCCCCGCGTGAGAAGGGGAGGACGACGGGAGGCGGAAGAACACCGCGCAGGCCGGCGGCGCCGCGTGGAGAGCCATGCGGATGCAGATGCGTGGAGAGTGGCCGCCGGCTGGCTGGCGGAGGAAGCGAGGGGGAGCGGGCAAGCGCCGTTGGTCAAGCTGCCGGGCGAATTCTTGGGCTGGGCAGCAGGCGTGCAGCTCGGCTGCTGGCGAGTGGAGTGGCCAGCTCGGGTCGGCCTCGGCGTGGGGTAAAGCGCGGCTGGACCGTGCGATGGGCCGGCCCCATGCGCGTGTTAAAGGCTTAATAAAGCCTAGATAAAGGAATGGTGGAAGAATAATGTGGTGCTATTTGTTCCTCTCCGCTTGTTCCGTGTACCACGTCTGGTCTGCAGATATGTGCGCTGTGCGGGGTACTTTTTTTTTTCCGGTACTGTTGGACACATAAAAACTGGTATCAATACATTTACCATAGAAAACAACTTCTAGCTTTTGAAAAAAAACTCCTAAGAGCATCTCCACTATTTCTCAAAAAATCAATTGGTAAATCAATGAGTTTTCCATGTGGCTAAAAAAACTTGAGAGTACATTTATTAGGCTTTTCTAACGGTTTTTAAAATTTCGCTCCTAAAATATATTGCCCCTGGTCCAATTTTATAAGGCATTTCATGTACGTCAAGAGTCAAACTTTATAATCTTTGAACAATAGTTTGGCTTACAACATTTACCTATTGTAATACAGACTTGACACTATTAGATTTGTAATTAAATGTATTATCCAATCATCATAAATTTATATTCACAAACACTATAATATAAAATAAATAAAATAGTAAAAGTTTAATTTAGGAGACCATGGCATCTCAATAATTTTGGATTTTTTCTAAATCACTCTAACCCATTTTATACTTTCCTTTCTCTCGTGTATATTTGCATTGAGAACCCTGTCCTACTCTTTATTCTTCCCCGTATCGTTCCATCTGCGCATTGGCACATGGATACACGCATGTATAATTGCTCGCATCTGGGTCGATTTTTCCAAGTGCGGAAAGATTGAGAGTTAAGATAGGGAGTCATATAAGAAAGATATGATTTTTCTAGAGTGAGAAGCTCCGGTACTTGATTAATGTGATGCTGAAACTTTATATTAATTTTATAAGCATATTAACGATTTCAAATGACAAAACTCAAAACTAAAAATTTATATCTCATCAAGACCTTTGGGAGCTACAATTTTTCTAATGCAACAAGTCCGGATACACAGTTGATATGCTATTGAAATATTTTATAATTTTTTTACCATCTTAACGACATCAAATGACAAAACTCAAAATTAGGAAATTATATATATCATTGAGGACTACAATTTTCATACACAATGTGTCTTTATCCGGACACCATATAAAGAAAATATGATTTTTCTAAGGCAACATACCTTAGTACGCGATTAATATGCTGCTAAAATTTTATATTATTTTTAGCATCTTAACTATCCAAAATGAAAAAAAAGTCAGAACTAAAAAGTTGTAGATCTCATTGGCTTCTACAATTTTCATATAGAAATCATCTTCATCTGAAGGAGTATGGACAAGACACGAATTTTTAAAGGTGGAGTCTTGTCGTCAACACGTAGATCAACAGCATGTTCGATTGGCTATGGCTTGTCGTAAATGATCGTAAATTTTCAGCCGGAACAGTATTTTTCTCTCACACAAACCAGCCAACAGTACTTCTTCACGAACCAGCAACGAAATGAACCAGCCAATCGAACAGGCTGCAAGTGAGGATGTTGATGGAGTTGTTCTAACGTAACAAACTAGCAAGGTTGTCCGCGCAAATTGCACATGTCTAGCTTTCTTTTTTTACATCATGATATATATTTTACTTGTATAAATAGTTTTGTTTGTTTTTGTTTATTTATTTATAATTTTTTATCACACCGTTTGCCTCTGCTGCATCCTCGACATAAACGTCATGTCCCACTTTGTGGTCTTCCTTTTCTCTTCTTTTTCCCCCACTTTTATTGCAAGTCATGCAATCTATCGATATCTACATTTTTCTTATAATCCTTGTCGGGGACCTAATACCAGGGTACCCAAGGAGATGGAATTAATAAACCATCGAACGTTAAAAACTCCCGAACGGACAAGAGAACTGTTGCGCTTCTTGCCCGAACAACGGGAGTTTGGTTCCGCCTCGCCCGACGCCCACTGGCCAGCTCCGCCTCACCCGACGGCTGGAGGACGGCTCCGCCTCGTCCGAGGGCTGAAGGCTAGACTCCGCCTCGCCCGACCCCTCGAGGGCTCGGCTCCGCCTCGCCCGACGTCCGAAGACGGACCTCGCCTCGCCCGATGTCCAAAGGCTGCCTCCGCCTCACCTGACAACCACACCCCGCTCCCTCATGATGATAGGCACAGGGTAAGACAAAGACGTTCAGGTTAAACCGTAGCATCGAGGACCATGCCCTGCGCCGCTGCAGGAAAGTACTGTCAGAGCACGATGGGACGAGCGCTTTAGACCCTCCAGGCATGGCAGGGGCTGAATAGTGTTGTGGGCGCATACTTTTCACCCTACAGTGTTGTAGACGCCGCCTTCAACCTCCGGGTGAGGAACCAGACATCAACATAGGACAACCAATACAATCCAAGGAGGGACTCCCGTCCTCTACAGTAACAAACGAGCGGTCACCGCACCATCCGCTCTCCACAGGGCCGTGGGAAAACATCTCAGCCCGACACGTCGCCCGCGGAGGTGGGACGAGACGTGACCACTTGCAGATCGGGTAAAGGCGTAGCATCATCAGCACATAGGCGCCCCGCGAGCGTGCCAACCTCTGACACCAGCTGGCCATGTCTGCAAGGCTGGCTTGGAGGAAAAAGAAGACCCGAGCCCTTCGAAGGACCTTCTATGCCTTGGTATTTTCCTCTTTCACCCATCTGGAACCCCTGCTCCCCCTTCGTCTATAAAAGGGAGGGTAGGGCTCCCCACTGAAGGGGGACCGAACGACCGACTTTCAACGGACAACTCACATACAGACGAACTCCAAGAGAGTTCAGTTCGACTCACATACACAGCCAAGCCGCCACCAGGCTCTAGGCCTCCTTTCGACCCTTCCATCAGAGACTTGGGACCAGTCCCTCTCTTGACCGTTTGTACCCTCTACTACGAACCGCTTTCAGTGCTAATAACATGAGCAGCAACAGACTGGACGTAGGGACATTCAGCCCGAACTAGTATAAACCTTGTGTCCTTTAGCGCACCATCCGGGCCTAACGCGCATAATTATAAATTTACTAGCCGGTGCTTGTTCGAAACACCGACAATCCTAAACCCCACTAGTTATGTACCTCGATGCAAGTTGTTCATATCAGCAATGCATTACCACATGTAATTAAAACTCATTAGCACATGCAATTGTTCACGTCATAAGACACACAAGTATTTTGTTGTCCACATAAACATGCCGCACAATTCACTAATCCATAATTTCCGAAGCAATGAGTGGGGTATGCTTTTAGTTTATGTCAAGGTCAAATCAAGTTGGCATTCGGTTTTCTCCTCTTGAGTTCCATTAATTTCTAAATAAACTACTATCAATGTCGCTCAAACTATTTAACTCCTTTCTCTCTTAGGACTTGTTTGGGATAGCTCCAAGTCTTAAAAATGAGATTCCGATCTGCAGATCCATCATAGAGCAACTCCAACTTGGATCTAAGATCTCATTGTTGTTGAGGAAAGTGTTTGGGAGAGATAGGGTGAATTTGTTAGGTGAGACACTCCTAGTTGGGTCTAGATCGACCCGTCGGGCTGACCCTACCCTGGTCCTTGGAGTTAGTCATATGGCCCGGCCTGTTCAAAATACATGTGGGTGTTGCTGGTGCCTGAGGCACGGTGGGAGCAGGGCGGCGGGCGGCACCTCCCTTCTTTGTAGGGTTGGGTCTCCAGCGGCGGCAGTGTGGAGGTTGCATGAGGTCGGGGAGAAAGCCTGGACGACGACATCTGTGGACGTCGTTTGCCTTCTTGAAGGCGGCCATTTCTACCTCTCCTCCTACCATGCTGGATTTTGCAGGTGAAAACCTTTCCTCATCGGGCTAGCTTGTCGACGCTTCCTTCTTGAAGGCTCTGCTAGGCTATCCAGTGTTCTGTTGTCGTTCTCATGCCGTCTGCCATGGCACTTCTCCAAGGGTGGTGGTACTCGGTGCTTCAAGGGTGGTGGCGGGGCTTGGTGCTCCAAGTCGTTTTTTCTAGTTAAGGTGTCTTAGTTGGGTCATTTCTTTGGCTAAGTTGCTAGTTAGGTCGATTCGACCAAGTTGTAAATAGTGGCGTGAGTTGTGATAGTTGTACTGAAGTTGTGCGAGTGTGGTACTATCCTCAGCTGTATGATTTTTGTGGTCTAGTTTCCATTCAAAAAATCTAGGCAATCATTTATCTTTTTTTCTTTCTTTGTCTAATAGAAATCGCGGCAAAGCTTTTGGGGTGCTTTAAAAAAATACCTATGGGTTGTGGCTCTTGTACTCGTCAAACTTGTAGTCCACGATCGGCATTGCGCGGAAGCTAAAACTCCAGGCTTGTTCTTCCCTGTTGAAATAGTTTGTCACATCTTCAACCTACGCTTAACTATTTGGAAACAATTGTCAACGGATATATACTGTTATTATGCGCAAAAAAAAGAATATATATTGTTATTGGATGGGTAATGAAGAAAGCTCAAGATTTTTTAGGTAGAACTATCATGTCTAGCAGCGTACAATGGACAAAGTTTGAGACGAGAAGATTTTCATTGACTTAGGGTCTGTTTGGGACAGCTTCATCAGCTCCATATCCATCAAATTCAGATCCATATCTAAAAAGGTTTGCCAAACACCTCCAGCTCCACCAGCTCCACCAGCTCCACTAGCGGATCTACTCCATCAAATTGGTGGATCTACCCCCAAATTCACCAAATTGGTCGATCTCCTCAAGAGGTGCTCCACCAGATCCAACTTTAGTGGAGTTGAGAGAAATTATCCATCACCGTAACTTGTTACACAAAAATAATGTTTTGATCTATTCTGTTTGGCTTGTTCAGCGTCGTGAGCACC